ACCCAGGAGGCGGAGGTTGCAGTGAGCTGAGATTGCGCCACTGCACTCCAGCCTGGGAGACGGAGTGAGACTCTGTCTCAAAAAATGAATAAATAAATAGATCATTCTACCATAAAGACACAGACACACAAATGTTCAATGCAGTGCTATTCACAAGAGTAAAGACACGGGATCAACATAAATGCCCCTCAATGACAGACCAGATAAAGAAAATGTGGTACACATACACCATCGAATACCATGCAGCCATTAAAAAGAACAAGAAGATCACGGCCGGGCGCGGTGGCTCAAGCCTGTAATCCCAGCACTTTGGGAGGCCAAGGTGGGCAGACCACGGGTCAGGAGTTCAAGACCAGCCAGCCTGGCCAGCATGGTGAAACCCTCGTCTCCACTAAAAATACAAAAATTGGCCGGGCGCGGTGGCTCAAGCCTGTAATCCCAGCACTTTGGGAGGCCGAGACGGGCGGATCACGAGGTCTGGAGATCGAGACCATCCTGGCTAACACGATGAAACTCCGTCTCTACTAAAAAATACAAAAAACTAGCCGGGCAAGGTGGCGGGCGCCTGTAGTCCCAGCTACTCGGGAGGCTGAGGCAGGAGAATGGCATGAACCCGAGGAGGAGGAGCTTGCAGTGAGCCGAGATCCGGCCACCGCACTCCAGCCTGGGTGACAGAGCAAGACTCCGTCTCAACAAAAAAAAAGAGAAAGAAAAAACAAAGGAAATCAGTATATTGAAGAGATATCTGCACTCTCGTTTGCTACAGCAGTATTCACAGTAGCCAGGATTTGGAAGCAGCCTAAGTGTAGCTCAACAGATGAGATGAATGGATAAAGAAAATGTGTGTGGTACACATATACAATGGAGTACTGTTCATCCATAAAAAACAATGAGATCCAGGCCAGGTGCGGTGACTCACACCTGTAATCCCAGCACTCTGGGAGGCTGAGGTAGGTGGATTACTTGAGCCCAGGAGTTTGAGGCCAGCCTGGGCAACTGTGAAACCCCACCTCTACAAAAAATACAAAAATTAGCCAGGTGTGGTGGTGAGCAGCTGTAGTCCCAGCTACTCAGGAGGCTAAGGTGGGAGGATCACTTGAGCCCAGGAGGTGGAGGTTGCAGTGAGCTGAGATCGCATCACTGCACTCCAGCCTCAGTGACAAGAGCTCAAACTTTACTCAGCTGCTGCCAAGGTGCTCCGTCCTCCCGAGGACCACGTTGCAGTGAGGCCCTCACTTCATCTGGCAACTAGCACTGCATCCGACAGCACCAGCCCCATACTGGCCCATGACATGGCCTCCATCTCCAAGCTCGCCTGCACCTACTCAGCCCACATTCTGCACGAGGACGAGGTGACCACCACGGAGGATAAGATCAATGGCCTCATTAAAGCAGCCGGTGTAAATGTTGAACCTTTTTGGTCTGGCTTGTTTGCAAAGGCCCTGGCCAACGTCAACATGGGAGTCTCATTTGCAATGTAAGAGCTGGTGGACCTGCTCCCCCAGCAGCAGGTGCTGCACCAGCAGGAGCTCCTACCCCCTCCACAGCTGCTGCTCCAGATGAGGCGAAGAAAGCGGAAGCAAAGAAAGAAGAATCTGAGGAGTCTGATGATGACATGGCCTTTGGTCTTTTTTCTTTTTTTTGAGACACAGTCTCACTCTGTCGCCCAGGCTGGAGTGTACTGGCGTGATCTCAGCTCACTGCAACCTCCGCCTCTTGGGTTCAAGCAATTCTCTGCCTCAGCCTCCTGAGTAGCTGGGATTACAGGTGCCTGCCACCACGCCAAGCTAATTTTTTTGTATTTTTAGTAAAGACAGGGATTCACCATCTTGACCAAGTTGGTACGGAACTCCTGACCTTGTGATCCACCCACCTCGGCCTCCCAAAGTGCTGGGATTATAGGCGTGAAACACCGCGCCTGGCCTGGCTTCGGTCTTTTTGACCAAACCTCTTTTGAAATGTGTTCAATAAAAAGCTGAACTTGAAGGAAAAAAAGGAGGGGGGGAGCAGGGAGGAAGGCAAGAAAAAAGACAAAAAAGGAGATCCTGGCCAGGTGCAGTGGCTCACGCCTGTAATCCCAGCATTTTGGGAGGCCGAGGCAGGCAGATCATGAGGTCAGGAGATCAAGACCATCCTGGTCAATGTGGTGAAACCCCATCTCTACTAAAAATACAAAAATTAGCTGGGCGTGGTAGCGTGTACCTGAAAACCCAGCTACTCAAACGGCTGAGGCAGGAGAATTGCTTGAACCAGAGAGGCAGAGGTTGCAGTGAGTCGAGATCGCGCCACTGCACACCAGCCTGGCGACAAAGCGTGACTGTATCTCAAAAAAAAAAAAATAGAATGAGATTCTGTCATTTTCAACAACATAGATAGAACTAGAGGGCAGTACATTAAATGAAATAAACCAGGCACAGAAAGACAACTTGGGCGTGGTAGGTGGTGGTTGCCCAGAGCCAGTATCATGCCACTGCACTCCAGCCTGGGAATCAGGGCAACACCCTGCCTTAAAAAAAAAAAAAAAAAGCTTGAATAGAGCTCAGATCCAAAAACACTCCGTTATATTTTAGAACAATTTGGAGAATTTTCATTTATTACACAGAGCAAATATTAGATAATATTATTTGTAATTTTCTTGATGCAAATAGAATTACGGTTTTAGTAAGACAACACTCTTATCATTGAGTCAGGTATTACCCACTACTTAAATGTCGAGCTTTTACCATCCTGGCTAACACGGTAAAACTCCATCCCTACTAAAATACAAAAAATTAGCCGGGCATTGTGGCACGCACCTGTAATCCCAGCTACTCGGGAGGCTGAGGCAGGAGAATCGCTTGAACCCGGGAGGCGGAGGTTGCAGTGGGGTGAGATCGCGCCACTGCACTCCAGCCTGGGCAACAGGGCGAGACTCCCTCTCGGGGAAAAAAAAAAAAAAAAAAGAAATGTCGAGCTTCAGCTCTGCAATGAATTTCCCATTTACTCTCAAACAGTTCACCATAAAATGTATTTACGAGACAGCAACTACACAAAACGCTAAATACAGGTGCAGCTACAATAGATACTTATTCGTCGTACTGGATGGTCAACATACCCATAGGTTTAAGTTTTTTCGAAAGAAAAATGCAGAAAAAATACACTTAGTACAGTCATCCTGTTAACGATAAATTCGATTATTGTAGTATTTGTGTGTAAACCCTCCACCCTTTCTTCCAGGAAGCCTGGTTATGAAGCTCTTTGGAGACGTACAGAACTAGGAACTTCAGATGAAAAGAATAGCTGAGTATTCTTAGCTTTCTTTAGTAGAAAGACTCGCGGTCTACAAACGTTTATATGCACATGCAGAAATACGCACACCCTAGACAGCTAAGAAAGCACCTTTCTACCTGAACGTAAAGTGTCCATAAAAAATATACAGGTTTCGCAAAGGCAAAATGCCAAAATCTCACAGGAAACACTCGTTTGCATAAAAAAGGAAGCACCTGCCCGCTTGAACCAACTTTCTCCCAGTGCTCACCCGAACACGGTGGAGTTGCCAGGTCCGTGGGGCTGCAGGATCTTGGGGACGGAGTCAATCGAACGCGAACAGCAAAATTCTTTCCCCTCTGAAAAACAATTCACAAAGGTTGCCTTGGAGACTTATGTTTTAGGCCTCAGAGTCCTTGGACACTTTTGAAGACGGGAACGCATGGCGGAAAACATCCCTCGGACGCGCCCATACTGCACTTCCCACCCAGCTCCTCTAGGGGACCCAAGGTCCGAATGGCCTCTCCGACGTGGCCTCGCCCGATGGCTCCGCGGCTCCCGCGGACGCGAGTGGAGTGGTCCGGGCCTCTCGAAGGAGGATCCTCGATTACCCTGGGTCGATTGTGACCTCTGCCACCCCGCGAAACAAGGCCCAACCCACTAGTCTACACAAGCCTCACCAAAGTAGCGAACGACCAGACGACACAAAGAAAAAGGTGGCTCTGAGGCAATAGGCGCCAGCGACTAAAAGAGACAACTGGCGCGCCGCTAACGTCACTTCCGCCGGAGCATTGGGAGGGGCGTGCCTCGTTGCGTGGGCAGTTGGACAGGATGGAACTCTTTAGGATTCTAGTTTCCCTCCGCGTGGGTGCGGAGGTATCAAGGAGTCGGCTCAGTGCGTGGGTCGGCAGAGAGAAATAGGCCCACGGGACAAGGTGGGGGTTAAATCAGGGCTGTGGGCGGGGCTGTGGGCGGGGCCCATGTCCGGAGGCGGGGCTGGATGTGGGACCAGACCCACCGGTTGGCTTCCGTGACAGAATGGACTAGGAGGGCGAAACGTCGGGGGATGGACTCGCCCCTCAGGATGCTCATTAAAAACTTTCCCCACGTTCCTGGACCCCTTTCAGGATTCTCTCCAGTTGATAACCTGCCAATCCACAAAATGGCCTGCTTCCTCCATTCGATCACGTCTTTAGAACTTTATTTTCTCTTATTCCTTTTTATTTATCTGACCTTGCTAAATTCTAATCGTTGATTCCTCTGCGTTTTCAATGTATCGGTACTTTCTGTAAATATTGCCATTTTTTTTCTTTTCTTTCTTTTTTCTTTTCTTTTTTTATCCTTTGAGGCAGGGTCTGGCTCTGTTGCCCAGGCTGGAATGCAGTGGTGGGAGCACGGCTCACTGCAGTCTCGACCTCTCCAGGCTCAAGCCATCCTCCCATCTCAGCCTCCCGAGTAGCTGGGACACGGGCACACCACCACGCCCGGCTAGTTTTTGTATTATTATTATTATTATCGGTCTAACCATGTTGCCCAGGCTGGTCTGGAACTCCTGGGCTCAAGCGATCTGCCCGCCTTGCACTCCTGAAGTGGGACTACAGGCGTGAGCCACCACACACCATGCCTGGCCTTATTGTATATTTTTTTCTTCTTCAACTATGTATTTGTTACTATTTCTCATATCTTATCAAATTATTCAAAGCCTCCCATACTACATTGTGAAATACTACTGATACCAGGCATTCTTCACTTATTTTGTGCAAAAAAAAAAAAAAAGAAGACGACGACTGTTGGACTTGTGGTAGAGATTTAGTTGAATCTTTGGGTTATATTGGTATCTTTATAATACTGAGTCTTCCTATGTGTGAATATACAATATCTCTCTATTTAGGTCTTCTTTAAATTCTTTCAGTAATGTTTTGAAATTTTCAGTTTACAAATATTTTACCTCTTGGAGTAAAGTTATTCCCATGTAACTTATTTGGATGCTTTTGTAAAAGGGATCACATTCTCAGTTTCCTTTTCTGATTGTTCATTGCTGGTGTATAGATACAAAACTAATTTTCATCTCTTCATGTTGTACTGTGCAACTTTACAGAATTTATTACAAGCTCTACCAGTTTTCTTGTAGATTCTTCAAAATTTTCTATATATCAAATATCACCTATAAATATACTTTTATATGTTCTATTCTAATTGGGAAACCTTTTATTTTACTTTCTTGTGTGATTGCTCTGGCTAGAATTTCCTGTAGAGGCTGGGTGCGGTGGCTCATGCCTGTAATCCCAACATTTTGGGAGGCCGAGGTGGGTGGATCACCTGAGGTCAGGAGTTCAAGACCAGCCTGACCAAGCTGGTGAAACCCCGTCTCTACTAAAAATACAAAAAAATTAGCCAGGCGTGGTGGTGGGCACCTGTAATCCCAGCTACTTAGGAGGCTGACGCAGGAGAATTGCTTGAACCTGGGAGGCGGAGGTTGCAGTGAGTGGAGATGGTGCCATTGCACTCCAGCCTGGGTGACAAGAGCAAAACTTCATTTCAAAAAAAAAAAGAAAAGAAAAGAATTTCCTGTAGAATGTTGAATAACAAAAGAGAAATCAGACCTCTCTTCTTCCTGATCTTAGGGATAATTTTTAGGCATTCACTATTGAACATGATGTTAGCTGTGTTTTTGTAAGTGCATTTTGTCTTGTTGAATAAACTCCCTTCTATTTCTAGTTCTCTTAATTTTTAATTTTTTTATTTTTTTGAGACAGAGTCTCGCTCTGTCACCCAGGCTGGAGTGCAGTGGCACGATCTTGGCTCACTGCAACCCCCACCTCCAGGGTTCAAGCAATTTTCTGCCTCAGCCTCCCAAGTAGCTGGGATTATAAGTGCCCACCACACCTGGCTAATTTTTTTGTATTTTTAGTAGAGACGGGGTTTCACCAGCTTGGTCAGGCTGTTCTCCAACTCCTGACCTCATGATCCACCTGCCTCGGCCTCCCAAAGTGCTGGGATTACAGGCATGAGCCACCACGCCTGGCCAGTTTTCTTAATTTTTATCAAGGAAAAGTGTTGAGTTTCATCAAATGCCTTTCCTGCATTAGTTGAGGTGATTCTGTGGGATTTTTTGTCTTTTGTACTAATGTGAAGAATTACATTTTTAAATTTCCTTTTGTTGAAGCAACCTTGCGTTCCTGAGATAAATCTCACTAGTCATGGTGTATAGTGCTTTTAATGTGCGTGTGGTATTAGTGATTCTTGAGCTAATATTTTTAGGTATTTTGCGCATTCTTATATTCATGATATATTAGTCTCTAATTTCTTTTTGTTTTTTTTTTTTTTGTGAGATGGTCGTTGTCACTCTGGTCCCTAGGCTTGTATGCGTCTATTGCTGTAATTTCTTGGGTTCTTTCAATGCTTATGTCTCAATACCACCCGTCATGGTCCTTTCTATGCTCATTCCTCGTGCACCTCAGCTCTTCTCATATGATATGCTTTTGTGACGCAGAGGACGCATTGTGCTTGGCTACTTTGGTGTGTGTGTTGTGCTCTTAGTTTTGCTCTTGTTGCCACAGGCTAGATTGCAGGGTGTGATCTTGGCCCACACAGAACCTCCGTCCTCCCAGTCAAGTCGTATGTCTCCTGCTCTCAGCCTCTCGCAGCTAGCTGGCACTACATGTTTGTTTACTAATCACCTTTACAGTTTATCCTGGCTTTATTTTTGTGTCTGTGTGTGTTTTTTATAGAGACAGGGTTCACCATGTTGCCAGCTGGTCTCAAACTGCCCTGACTGAGGTGATCTGCCCATTCTTAGTCTCCCAAAGTGCTGGGGGAGTGCTGGGATTACAGGCGTGAGCACCACAGCCTTGGCTAATTGTGGTTATTTTTTTTTGGAGATGGGGTTTCACCATGTTACCAGGCTGGCGCGCTCGTGGCCGCGCACCGCTGGCCTCCCCAAAGTGCTAGGGGATGGTATAGGATGAGCCACCCAGCGTCCCAGCAAAAAAAAGAAAAGAGAAGGAAAAAAAAAAAGAACATGTTTTCTCCTTTGTTGTCGTGTGGGTTTGGTTTGGTGTTGGGTGTCGGAGTGACAGAGTCTCCCTCGCGGTCGCCAGGGCTGGGAGTGCAGTGGCACAATCTGCCGGCTCACTGGCCAAGGCTTGGCGTACCTCCCGGGATCCGAAGCAGATTCGGTGCCTCAGTGTCCTCCCATATAGCTGGGGTTTTTTATCTATTCATGCTTTGCAGTTTACACCATGCTCCAGCGGTATACATTTTGTGTTGTATTCTTTTATGGATGGAGTATGGGGTTCTTCTACCATTGTTCTTTTGGCCTAGGGTGGTCTTGATTTTCTCTTTTGACTCTCTACGTATCCCACTTGCCTTCGTGCTCCCTGATAGTGCTGGGATTACAGACGTGAGCCACCACACCCAGCCTCCTGTTCTACTTTTTTGGAGGATATTGAGAAATACTGGTGTTGATTATTCTTTAAATGTTTGGTACAATTCGTTTGTGAATTGACACTTCTTTGGTCCTTGACAATTCATTGTTGGGAAGTTTTGAAATACTGATTTAATCTCTCTTCTTGTTACAGGTCTGTTGAGATTTTTCCTTACTTTTTAATCCAGTTAATTTCTGTGTTTCTAGAAATGTGTCCATTTTATTTAGGTTATCTAACTACTTGTACAATTATTTGTTCATAGAATCCTCTTATAATCTTTATTTCTGAATAGTTTGTTGTTAGTGTGCCCCAGTTTCATTTCTAATTATTTGCATCTTCTGTCTTTTTTGTCAATCCAGGTGAAGTTTTTCGATGTTATCGATCTTTGCAAAGAGCAACTTTTAGTTTCATTGATTCTCATTGAATAGATTCTTATCTATTCTCCATTTCACATATTTCCCCTCTTTATTATTTCCTTTCTTCTGTTGGATTAGTTTACTTTCCTCGTTTTGGTAGTTCCACAAGATGTAAAATTATGTATAGGTATTTACAGCTATAAATTTCCTACTGAGGCCAGGTAATGTGGCTCACACCTGTACTCCCAGCACTTTGGGAGGCCAAGGCAAGAAGATTGCTTGAGCCCAGGAATTCAAAGCTGCAGTGAGCTGTGATCGTGCCACTGCACTGCAGCTTGGGGGACAGAGCCAGACCTTGTCTCAAATAATAATAATAATTTTCCACTGAGCACTCTCATTGCATCCTATAAGTTTAGGTCTGTCCTGTTCATTTTTGTTTCTCTCCACATATTTTCTTTTGTAATTTGTTGTTGTTGTTGTTGTTTGTGACTAGCAGAAATTTATTTCTTATAGCTCTAGAGGCTAGAAAGTCCAAGAACAAGGCACAAGTAGATTCAATGTCTCATGGGGGCCTGCTTCCTGGTTTATACATGACTGTCTTCTCACTGTGTCTTCACATAGTGCAAAGGGAAAGGCAGCTGTCTGGGCCTCTCATTTTAAAATTACTTTGTTTTTTGATATGTTCTGAGAAAGGATCTTGCTGTCTTGGCCAGACTGGAGCAATCCTCTCACCTCAGTCCACAGAGTAGCTGGGACTACAGGCATATGCCACCATACCCAGTTAATTTTTTAGAAAACTTTTCGTAGTGATAGGAATTCACTATGTTACCTGACTGGTCATGAACTCACAGCCTCAAGTGATCCTCCTGCATCAGCCTCCCAACGTGCTTGAATTACGGGCATGAGTCATCGTGCCCAACCTAATTGCTTTTTTTAATTGACAAATTTTCATTGTACATATTAATGGAGTA